GGGGGGGGGGGGGGGCAGGGTCAGTAGCCTGCTATTAAGTGCAATCCAGACAGGGCGAGATCTCAGGCCCCACCCTGGATTATGTAGAGAAGGTGTCCTGACTTCCTGCCCCAGCCCTCTCCTGGGTTTCATTAGCCAAAGTCACTGCCATTTTACTTTCAGGGGTGGGGGCGGGCAGAAACGTGCCTAATGACTTCCTCTTGCTGGCCTTTCAGAGCAAGAAAGACCCCTCTTTGTGGACCTGCCCCTTCCACCCGCCGCTCCAGCTCTTTTTTATTATCCGCAACACCAGACAGCTGCGCGACTTCGGTCTGGCCAAGGTCAGGGTTTGGAATTACTGGACAACTGATGGCGTAAGTAACAGGCTCTGATTCCTCGCTGGGCTCTTTGGTGGTGAAAGCACCTAGCAGTTTGCCAATAGCCTTATTCCTAAAGCTGCAGAATGGGTACACAGAGGCCCTGCTGCCCTTCCTCAGGGTGCAGCAAAAGCCTGGGGGGGATTCCCCTCTGAATTTGTCACAGCCACCATGAACACAGCTTCCACCTCCTAAGGTTGGGGAAATGATATTAGGCCACCCTTTGGGGCAACTGGAAAAATATGAACTGAGACTCAGTTTTGCAGATAAGGAAACAGAGACACAGAGAGGTTATGTAACTTGTCCCAGGTCACACCCTACAGTCTGTCTCCATGGCCACCAGGAAGGTCTGATCCTGTTTCTCTGCTGCTTAAAACCCTAAGAGGCTCCCCTTGACCCAGAGGATCAAGGTCAAACCCCTAGTGTGACATCAGAACCTCGTAATCCCTGTGGGCCCGGCCCTGCCTCTCTCCTGTCAATTCTTGTCCTTGTCTTACACTGTCCCCTATGGTAGTCACACCTTTAGTCCCTGGCCCCTCCCATTTTGCTGAATTCAGAATGCCGGTCTCTGCCTCACATTCCTGGAAAACACAGACGTCACTTTCTCCAGGAAGCCAACCCTGCCACTTGCAGGGCTTCTGGACATCATGGATATGCTCCATCACCCTCTGCACTGAGGTTTACACCTCCCTCCCCCACAGTATCTCCACCACTGCCCTGTTCAAAGGAAATGAATGGTCAATGAATGAATGAATGAGCTCATGTTCCAATAACCCATAGCACTTGTGTTATCCTTTTGGATATTCAGATGAGAGCCTGAGGGTAAGAGAGGCTAAGTTGCATAAAACCACATAGCTGGGTGGAGACAGAGCTGGAAATCTAGTCCACAGTAGTCAGTCCTCCCTCCCTCCCTACTTTTTCCTGCTAGTTCTCCCCCCTGCACCCCCTAGTCCAGCCGTCCATCTACCTAATGAGCATGTCCCAAGCGCCTGTCAACTGCTAGGCACTGCAGATCTGGAAACTAATGTGGCAGACAGTCCCAGCCGGCTCTGTTATGCACAGTGCTGCCCAGAGAAGTAATAGAAAGCTTTCTCTGGTTTCTGTTTTTTGAGTTTTTTTTGAACACTTGAGTTTAAATTTGAGAAAAAGAAGTCCAAGCCACTGGAATAAGTGAGGAGGTTTGTGTAAGCATGTCAGCCCTCCTTACCACTTGCCACCCCTGGCCCCTTGTGTGCTCAGAGGCTGACCTTCAGACCCCACACATCCACAGCTCTCTGCGAGCATCTAGCACCGTGTCCCCTCATTCCAAGCCCCATTCAGCACTTCCTGGCAGGTGATCGTCATCAGCACCTTCTGCTGCAATGGGTAATGAAACAGTGCTGGCTGCCCGAGCCCGTGCCCTGCAGCTTGGCCCTGTTATATATATCAGGCCAAGGCAAGCAGGTTTTATGTGCTGGATTACAAAGAAGGTAAGTTTCATCCATTTTGGCCCAGCCTTCCCTGTGTGTATAGAATAAAAAAGAGGAGCAGGGTCTTAAGAGTCTCACAGGATCATAGGGCATCATTGCGGGTGTTTGGGGAGCTGCTGGCTGCGGGATTAGAGAGCCGAGGTCTTTCCACTCACGGGGTAGGGTGTGGAGGACTGCAGTCCCTGCCAGGACCCGCTTATGTAACACACACCCATCTGTTGCCAGAATTTACCGGGGGCAGGAAAGCGCTAACAAATGCAGCTGCAGGTTGGTTTGATTGACTATTCTCCAGAGAATGCTATTACTGTGTGTTTTAGAGGAGATAAAATGAGAGTTTATAGGAAATATAGCTCGGCCTGTAGACACGGCTTGTTAATACAGTGTTTTGTGTATGGGAATCCGAGGAAGAAAAGTTAAATGTGGGGAGCTAATCCAGCCAATGTTCTAAATAAGAACATTAGAAAAGAAGGCACTAGATAAAGGGGAGTCTTTTTTTATTAGGAAATATGCTGCCTGTTAAATCCTCAGGCTAATGTTTATGGGCTCCTTTTCCCCTCATTAGATGGGGTGGTAAGTGTGAGCCGGCCAAGGGGAGAAGGACAGTGAGGACGTGGAGGCCACACCCATCCACAACAGAGCACACAGGCATCACACAGATGCCCCTACCCATGGCAGTTGCCATTTATCCAAGGCCGTGGGTACCTGGCACACAGGGGACAGGGGCGCTCAGTGGGCACTCAGTAAATACTTGCTGCGTGAACGCATAACTGAGCAAGTGAATCATCTCAGTTAACCTCCAGCACTCCTACAGGCTGGGCGGTAGTGTCCCCTTCTTGTAGAAGGCGAAACCAGAGCTTAGAATAGTGATTGGAAATGGCTGTCTGGAGTGCTGTCTTTTTTTTTTTAAGATGAAAGGGAAGGGGATCTTAACCCTTGACTTGGTGTTGTCAGCACCACGCTCAACCAGTGAGCTAACCAGCCATCCCTACATAGGATCCAAACCCGGGGCCTCGGTGTTCTCAGCACCACACTCTCCCGAGTGAGCCACTGGCCGGCCCTTGGAGTGCTGTCTTGAGAAGGATCTGGAACCTTCCTTCTGGTTCATCAAGGAAGACCTGCATGATTGGCCAGCAAGGCTTGCCTTAGGCTCAGGACAAGGACATGGTGACACGTTTGCCCCATCTTTGATGTTCCCCAGATTAAATGACTTGCCTGGCTAGTGGTTCTAAGGGACGGCACTGGGAGGGGATGTACGGTCTGTTGGTTTTTCTCTGGTTTTTCTCAGCACTGCTTCCCCTGCAGTGACATCTGTTGGGATGAAGGAACCAATAGTCTCCCTTCTTTGGTAGGTAATAACCCATCCAAAAAGTGGGCTTCCAGCAGCTCCCCATGGTCCTTCTGTTCTCCTTTATAACAATCATATTAGATATCTACTGCAGGGTACCCCCCCCCCGCTCCACCCCGCCAGTAAAGACAAGCACGCCATCACCATCTTCACTCGTAACAGCACCATGCAAATGCCTGTTCCCGGTCACAATTGTGAGAGAGACGGCAGTGAGCGTCCAGGCAGGACGAACACCCTGCGCATATTTCATACCCGGAAATGGTGCTCATTAAGCAGACTTTGAATGAGTAAATGAATGTATGTATGTTACGTTTCTCCATTTGTGTATTTCTGTGACGTGTGGTCTAGCCAACACCACCCTCTAGAACTTTCTTTCGTGATAGAAATGTGCTACATCTGCCTTGTCCAGTACAGTTGCCAGTAGATGCAGGTGGCTGTGGAGAACTTGAACGTGGCTGGTGTAACTGAGAAACTGCATTTTAAGTTTTATTTCATTTCAATTAATTTTAATTTTAAGGTAAGGAGCCTGTGTGGCTGGTGACTGCGTACTGGGTTGCATAGGTCTTGGCGTTCAGGGTGCAGTGGTAAGCAAACTGACAAGGCCCTGTCCATATAGCCCTGTCCCTTCTGGCAGGGAAAGGACAATAAGCAACGAAACAAATGAATGGCATCATCTCAGGTGATGCTAATTATTCTGAAGACAATAAAATAGGGCAGCAAGCAAGAGGCATGGGGAGGAGGGGAACAGAGCTGCTCTGAACAAGGGGGTCAGAGGCCTTCCCTGACCAAATGGTGGTGGCAGCAGCAGTAGCCTGTGGCATCTGTGGGAAGAGTGCTCCTGGCAGGGGGCACAGCAAGAGCAAAGGTCCTGCGACAACAACATGCCTGGCCAGAGCCAGGTGGCTGGAGCCTGGTGTACAAAGGAGTTTAGGGGGATGTCCCAGGGGGAGGTAGGAACCAGTGCAGGCAGGCTTGGCAGGTTTGGACTTTATTAGGAGAGAGGCAGAATAGACAGGTGGTCAGAGAAAGGCTGCAGAGCCAGCCCACCTGGGGCAAGTCCATGTGGCCTTGGTCAAGTCACTCGAAGTTTCTATGCCTTGGTTTCCTCTGAAGAATAGGGTAAATATTGTTCAGTGAATCCATGTAAAGTGCTCTGAACAATTCCTGGCTTTTGCACCCTCTATGCCAGTGTTAGCTACTAATGCCGTTACTGGAGGGTTTTGAGTGGGGGTGACGTGATCTGCTTGAGGAGTTTAAAAGACCACTCTGGCTGCTGTTTGGAGACTGGATCAGAGGGAAGGGGCCCGGAAAGGAGACTCAAGGCACAGCGTAGCTAAGGACAGTGGTGGCTTGGATGACGGTGGCGGGGCTCATGGGGTGCACCATGGGTAGATTCTATCCATCCCATGACAGTATCTGCATTCTCAGCAATACCTTTTTATAGGAGGAAATTTTGAAAAGAATATGAGTGAAGAGATTACCTCAATAATGACCCATGAATCCATCACCAGCTTCAGTAATTACCACCTCCTGCCATTCTTGTTTTCATCTGTCCCCCACCCTTTGAAAGTGAATTGTAACAATCATACCATTTCACTCATAAATAATTCAGTATGCATCTCTAACAAATAAGGAGTTTGTTTGTTTGTTTGTTTGTTTGTTGTATATAACCCCAATGCCACTATCATGCCTGACAGTAACTAATTATTTTGCTCTAATACCCACTCCATACTTAAATATCCCTAATTGTCTCAAAATTGTTTTTTTACACTTGGTTTGTTTGGATGAGGGTATAAACCAAGACCAAACATGGCAATGACTTTGAAGTCTGCATAACTGAGAATCTGCCCCATGGCAGGGTCTGGGCACCCCTGGGCCTGGGAGGCATGGTGGAAAGGAGACTGACCCCATTTCATGGGAGGCTCCTGAGGTGTTGACCTCAGGCTGAGTCTAAGGCACTATTCACTGGTGCTCTCTGGTGGGTGGACGCAGTAGCTGAAATCTGGGCAGAGTCCACATACAGGAAGACACAGACATGGTAGCCATGAGAGTCCCAAGAACACTATTCACTGGTGCTCTCTGGTGGGTGGACGCAGTAGCTGAAATCTGGGCAGAGTCCACACACAGGAAGACACAGACGTGGTAGCCATGAGAGTCCCAAGAGGCTCAGGTTTGAAGCAGGG